AAGCTACAAGAAACATGTCAATAGAAGAAATTGTTGCCATGTTTGTATATGTTTTGGCTCACCACAAGAAAAGTAGAACAATTTGTGGTTTATTTTAGAGAAGTAGAGAAACGGTGAGTCGTCAATTTAATCTTTGCCTCCTAGCAGTTTTGAAATTGCATACTATATTACTTAAGAAGCCTGAGCCTATTACCGAAGATTGCACAGATGAGAGATGGAAATGTTTTAAGGTAATTCAAACATTAAAATACAATCATTTAATAAAATGTATGTTTTCATCTAAACTATCCAATATAGACATTTTAACTCATTTATATTTTTTATTTTTGTTAAAATAGAATTGTTTAGGTGCCTTAAATGGGACATTAATAGATGTGACACCACCCACCGAACAAAAATCAAGATACCAAACGAGAAAAGGAAGTATTGCAACAAATGTATTAGGGATTTGTTCTCCTAATATGCAATTTATCTATGTCTTGCCTGGTTGGGAAGATTCGGCACATGATGGTCGTGTGCTTCGAAATGCTATCTCTAGACCAAATGGTCTTAGAGTCCCACAAGGTAAACATATATTGCAGTATTCAATACCATTCAATCAATTTTTTTTCGAAAATAAGGTAGTCTAGTATTAATTTGTACATGATTGAATTCTGAAGGTTGTTATTACTTGGTGGATGCTGGATATTGTAATGCTGATGGATTTCTTGCCCCTTATCGAGGGCAAAGATATCACCTTAATAAATTCAATGGTTATCGACCACAAAGACTAGAGGAATATTTCACATGAAACATTCTAAAGCTAGAAATATCATAAAAAGATGTTTTGGATTGCTAAAAGGAAGGTGGAAGATTCTAGCATCCCCTTCATTTTTTCCAATTCAAACACAAGTGCGAATAATTATGGCATGTTGTCTGCTGCACAACTTGATAAGGAAGTTCATGACTTTTGATCCACAAGAATTACTACAAAGTGAAGAAAATGAAAGTGAAGATGAAGACAGTGATGAAGAAGTAGAGTACATATCCACCATTTTGCCAAGTGATCAATGGGCAAATTTTAGAAATAATTTAGCGCATGAAATGTTTGACAATTGGAGGGCTGGACTTAGTATTTAGCTATGAATGGATGTTTAGCTCTTAGACTCATTAAATTTGGATTGACATTTGATGTACTCTTGTAGTGGATTTGTGAATTAGATTGACACTTGATGTATGTTCTTTTAAATTTGGATTGACTTTTAATTGTATGTTCTTTTATGTGTTTTGTTATATTATAAATTTCAGTTATATGCTATTGTGTATCAAAATTAATTGATATATATGGGTTGACTTCTAAATGATAGGATGGAGAATGATGAAATTGTACGTGGAAGAGGGAAAATAAATGTTTTTGGACTGGTGAAGAGGTAAAAGTGCTCATAGAATCATTGCAAGAGTTGGCTTGTGATCCAATGTGAAAATCAGATGGAGGATTTAAAAATAATTATATGAGCAAATTACTTAAAATTATCTTGCGTAAGCAACCTACTTTTACCAAACAAGTCAGCCCACATATTGAATCAAAAGTTAAGTGACTGAAAAATAGGTTCCATGCAATTGTTGAAATGTGCAAAGAAAGTGGTTGTAGTTGGAATGATGCTGAGAAAAAGATTTCTTGTGAAAAACAGTGGTATGATGATTGGTGCAAGGTAAGAAATTGATTACTTTTTACATTCTGATATGTTCTTTTTCAACATTTTATTAAGATTATCATTTATCTTTCTATTCTATCTCTAGACTCATAAGGATGCAAAGGGCCTTTGGGATGTCAAATTTCCATATTTAGGAGATCTTGAAATTGTATATGGAAGAGACAGAGCCACTGGAAATGTTGCTGAAGATTTTGCACAAGCTGTCCAAGATATGGAAGATGTCCAAAATTTGGAGGAAGGAGATGAAGGGCTTGATGTTATGTCAAACTCGGATAATGATAAGGTAGAAGAAGATGAAGTAAATTCCATGGAGCAATCAACTCAACCAAACTCAACAAGCACAAGAAATTCCAAGAAACAAAAGAAACAATCCCTTCCCATTGCAAATGTGTCAAAAAAAATGAAATCTGCATCAACAACAAGGGGTGATCTTGATGCATCATTGCAACTTCTCACCAGCAAATTTGGAGATTTCGTGGAGAGAATTCAAGCTAATTTCACAACTATGGCAGCAGCCATGTCAAATGAGGATAAACGTGAGCAATTGGTCTCCGATAGAAGAGATCAAGTTGTTGCTGAGTTAATGAAACTTGCTTTACCGAGTGGAGATGTAATGAATGCAGCCGACATACTTTCGGAGCAGATTTCCAAGCTTCATGTGTTCTACAATCTTCCTGCAGAAATGAAACGATAATATGTAATTAACCTCCTTTATCCTCCATCTACTCGCTGAAGTAAAATTATTGTTAGCTGGAAAGTGATGATTTGATGGCAATTTCTTTTTGATATGATGATTGTTAGATGGTTATATGATTAGTCTTTTGGAGATTGTGGACATTGAGTGGCACTCTCGACTGGATTAGACAATTGATTTGTATTTGGTATGGTTAGCTTTTGTGATTTGAGTCTCCTTCTTTTGTTCATATATGTAAGGAGTGATCTATTTCATATCATTATCTAATGTAGGAACCACAAACGACTTGTTAATGGAGTAAATTTCCAAAAAGAAAGAGTTTTTAAACTAACTTCCTAAAGGCTGGCAATTTTTGAGTCTCTTCCCAAAGGATGAAAAACACATTCAAGAAATGCGTTCTTCCAAATAAAAATACAACTTTCAAATACGTTATTTTAATTTTCGTAAATTTGTTTAAATAAAAAAAAATTGGTTAAATAGCGTATTAAATACAAAACCTGCTAATTTCCCATAAAGAGCTGGTATCTTATGAGTAATTTCTTTTTTTTTTTAACTTTCACATATTTAATTTATGTTAAATACAAAGCATACTAGTTTTCCTTTGGGCGCTATTTAATCAATTTTTTCCATAAAGAGTTGGTATGTTTTCCATAAAGAGTTGGTACAAAACATACTACAAAATCTGCCAGTTTCCCTTAAAGAGCTGGTATCTTATGGGCAATTTTTTTTTTTTATCTTTCACATATTTAATTTATGTTAAATACAAAACATACTAGTTTTTCTTTGGGCACTATTTAATCAATTTTTCCCATAAAACTGGTACAAAACCTGCCAGTTTCCTATAAAGAGCTGGTATCTTATGGGCTATTTAACCAATTTTTCATATTTAAACAAATTTCCAAAACATATTTGGAAGAACACATTCCTTGGATGCATTTTTCGCCCTTTGGAAAGAGACTCAAAAATCGTCACCTTTTGGGTGATTGTTTAAAAACTCTTTTTTTTTGGAAATTTACTCCTTGTTAATGCAGCTACTATATTTATTTTATGGTATTAATTTTTTTATTATTTATGATTTTCTTATGTTTTATTAAAAAGTTAATAACTATTGTAGTTACAATTATGAAAATGTTAATTTGTCGTATGTGTAATTCTTTTGTTTTAGAAGAATTGTTATATCAGGGGTAAATTTGGAATTTAATTGCATTTAATTCCGAAACACTCATCAAACCAAGCGTCAGGAATTGGAATAATGCTAATTCCAATGTGTGAACCAAGCAAGATATTGGAATGAAAAGTTTTAATTTCAAAACCAGAGTCTATGATTCCAATTACAATTCCAATTCCTAAATTTGAACCAAGCGCCCCCTCAGTTCTACATGTGATGATTGTTCAAGTTGCATAGCCAAGCGTCCGGATACCTGATTGATGATGTGCATTTGAAGCGTACAAGTGAAACGCCAAATTGCACTAGCCTATCAAACGAGTACTTTAGACTATAATCTTTGTTACCGTTCTCATTTTACAATTTCATTAGGTATTGCTTTTCTTAAACCAAAATATGGGTTTTATGAGTACATAAAGTACTTAACATCATATATTCATATGAAAAGAAGTTATCCATTTTATTGCTTTTTGGCTTGCACTTTTTCCTTTTCTAAAAACAAAAGGAAAAAAATTAGGATTTTGGATTTCTTTTTCTCTAGAAATTCCTTGAAGTTTTTCTGCAGAAATTTTTTTTAATATTTTTTATGATCATATTTTTCAAACACTTATTTTTATCTCACATACATCAAATTGATATAGTATATTTTTCTACTAAAAAATCCAAAAATCTATTTTTCAAAAACAAAATTTTCAAATACAATGCTAGAATAATACACAAATAAAACAACTCAAAAACATCTCATCCATACAATATATAAAAAATAATTCACAAATATACACAAAAAAATTTTTAAAATTGAATTATATAACATTTTCCACCTATCACCACCACTACTCGCCACCACCACCCACCACCATCCCCGCCTACCACCAATACCCCCCTCTCATTTCTTCCTCCCTCAATCTGCCAAAGACCAGATCAAGGTCTCTAGTTGTGACTAGAGGCCGCAATCTAGTCGATACTAGACTTTCTGGCCGCGACCAGATCGCAGCCTTTGGTTGCTGCCAGATTAAGGGGGGTGGGGGCAGGGAAAGGGAAGAGAGAGGGGGAAGAGAAAGGAGGAAGGAGTGGGTGGTGGAGGTGGTGTTGGTGGTTATTTGTGGTTGTGGGTGATAGTATTAATTTTTAAGAAGTACTTTAAAAATATTTTAATTTTAAAAGGTACTCCAAAATATATTTTAAAAATTTATTCAAAAATATCACAAAAAAATTTACAATCAAAATTTTTCATATACACTGTTGCAGTAAAATGTTTTAAAAATATAAAAAAAAAGTAATTAATTCAAACGGAGCCAAAAATATTTTGTCAAGGAAAACTAATGAAAGAAACTAGTAGTCTACTACCCAACTACGTGTATTCACAGTTTCATGCTATGTAGTATCTCTATTCTCGCCACTGGCCATTTGGTCCAGTAGTCATCACCCTCTTTGGTGATGTTGGAGGTCAGGGGTTCTACCCCTGCCTCCCTCATACTTGTCACAATATGTGGCTGGTCTTAGTTGACCATCTCCCCTTACCCCTTACCCCTTCCTCCCTCGTACTTGCCACAATATGTGGCTAATCTTAATTGACCGTCGCTCCCGTCGTCTACATGTTCCGGGAATTGGGGCTAAATTACAGAGGCTATTAATTATTTTCAGGTACTTTTGGTCATCCTTATGATCATGCTTTATTTTCTGCTCAACATTATAATTCACAAAGTCAGCTGGAATTTGCAATCTTCTTATGGCTTGCTTAATTTAAATAGATTTCCTCGCTAACTTTATAACATTTACTGATATAATCAGGTTCGCCTTCGGGATTCAAAGTCTTTGCCGGCTTGCCCTTCATGGAATCAGGTACTCTTTGTAAACTTTCTTTCTATAAATGCTTCAGTTGCTTAATTGTAATAATCCTGCACCATTTAGTCTGATTACTTTATAATCATGAATGGATGAAGACTTTTGATTTTGATTAGCATATAATTGTAGTGAATCAGCACGTTGGAGTTCGAATTTGTGTATGGTCGTCAATAAATAAGGAACTGTTTGAGTTTCAAATTAGCGCATAACTTTGATAATCCAGCACGTTTCAGTTCATATTAGTGTATAATTATGAATGAATAATGAACGTTTGAGTTCTAATTGGTTCTGTTTTGATTATCAAGCATATTGGAGTTGGAATTAGTTCGTAAATGAGTGACAGATGAAATTTGAGTTCTAACTGGTCAATGAACGCTTTTGTTGGTTAATAATAGAGGAATGTGAGCAGGAGAGATCTGGTTTGGAGATTGCCCCTTTGGACTTCATCTCGCGGTTGCCTGATTCCGTGATTCATCACATTTTATCTTATCTGCGTGCCAGAGATGTTACCTCTACTGCAATATTGTCAAAGACTTGGAATCGCACCTGGTCCACTTATCCTTATCTTGTATTCCACTTTTTCTATGATAATTCAGTCACAGAACAAGAGCAAGTTCTTGGTGACTTGCATATAAAAAAGCGAAAACATGATTTCTTGATTCTTGCTGGAAATTCCATTTGTCGGCGCTTGCAACTAGATTTTTGCGTACAAAGATTTCAATTGTATATTGACTTCCCTGATATGGAGTTGTTGATGCCTAATATGGACCAATGGATTGGTATAGCAGTAGACAGGACTGCTCCAGAACTTGCTGTTTGCATTGATAGTTTGTCGGGCTCAGATAGACATTTTTAGCGTTCCGCAATCGGTTTTGCTCGCTAGCTCGCTAAAAGTTTTAAGCTTATGTGGTTGTAGATTTGAGAGTGGATTGGATATCAAACTTCCACATCTACAGAAGTTTTCTTTATCTCATTCTTGTTTCACCGACAAGTTTTTATTTCACCAAATTCTCTCTGGGTGCCCCGTGATAGAGTATGTGAAAGTGTCATTTTGTAAATGGATGGACACACTTCTCTCAGTTTCAAGTTTATCTCACTTGAAGTATTTTGAGTTCCTGTACTGTGATGGGATTGATACTGTTCAGATAGATGTGTCTGATCTTCATACTTTTTCGTTTGCACCATCCTTGGGAAACTGGCCCAGAAGTGTTAACCTGGCTACTTGCAAAGCACTGAAGGAGTTGAAACTCAGTGGGGCAGGTGACACAACTAACTTTGGGCACCAGGCGCTGACATTTCAAATCCAGGCCCTTGAAGCCTTAGAGTTTCGAAGTTGCCATGGGTTGGGGAGTATCAGAATTTCAAGCCAAAGGCTTCAGAGACTGGCCTTTAGAGATTGTCGCACTTTTCAGGTGCTGAAATTGACACTCCAAATTTAGAGTTTTTTTAATGCTGCAACTGTGACAATCCTTTCATTCCCATCAAAGCCTCTGATGATATCAAGATACACTTAAGATTTTCCCTTAGTGGAAAAACGGTTGATTGGGTGGTTAAACCGAATCAATTTTTGTCGAGTTAAGATTTTTTCAGGATCTCAAGTTTATCGTCTATCATCATTCTAAGGTACACTCTTTTCTATTCCTATTCAGCTTTGGTGATCTTTAGTAGTTTTATCCTCTTCTTTCCTTAGAATGCTATTGACTTCTTGAGAATGAAGAAGTGCATGTGCACAGCTATGCTTTTAAGCGCATATTGCATTTTCATTTTTGGAGCCTATTTTCATAGGTTTCTGGGGATCAGATACCTCCAGTCACATGTTCCTGCATGGATCTCTGCATAACAGATATGTTATACCAGTTTGGTAGTATTTGAGTCTCTCTTGGATGCAAAAGAAAAAGGATGAATGCATACTGCTATGTACTTTCTAATTGCCTTGAATCCATCTGTACAGATGAGAAAAGTATGTTATTCACCTTTTACTTTCTTAGACTTGAACTTCAGAGAAATGTGTCTTTTTGAAACATTAGATTATTCCTATTTTATTGTCTTTGATCTCGATTTTTCAACTTGATGCTTAGTTCCTTGAAGGCAATTTTTAAATAGGGACCATTGTGGTCATCTTGCATCAGTAGGCTGACTCCTGGAAACAATTAATACTCCTGCAGAATTATGTTAGGCAGCGTTACAAGTGTGTTCAACTGCAGAATTATTGAGAACTTTGCTGGAGAATTTCATCAAAATACAGAAAAAAGCGGAAAATGGGAACCTAACCTACCGTCCATTAAATTTTATGAATCTCATAAGTTTCATATTCCTAATAAGAGAAACAAATGATCCTAGGCCAAGGCGTTCCCACGAAGATTACAACTCTACAAACAGCATTTTTTTCGTTTCTTTTTCTCAAAATTTTTTTAATTTCAAAACTTTTATGAATAACAATCTTTGGTCAAAAACTCTATAAACAGCCAGAGCTTGTATATAAAAGGAAAAAAAAAAGAAATTCTAAATTCCTTACATATAAAAGGAAAACTTTGGTTATGTTATACAAAAGCCTCTCGAATATTGCACAGGAAACTTTTTATATGGACCTGGTCCAAATGGCTGAACTTGTGAGCTTAAAGAGCCACATCCTTGTGCCCGCACCTCTTTAGGGAAAGAATTTGCATGTAAAGCCCTTAAAGAATGCTTTACGAAAAATTATTAGCAATCATATTTAACTTTAGATAACAAAGCCGTGATTACAGGAAAAAGAAGTCACAGTGACCCTGCAGTCATATTGAGTTGGCCATCACATTAATCGTGCGATGGGAGGTTAAGGTTTCAAATCTTATCTCCCATCAATGTGTCTTTATATGAGATTTGTTCTAAATTCATACGACTGCATGGTATACCCGTCTAATCTGATGGCAGTTCAATTCCCGTTAGATTTTCCCAACTTAATTGGGCTATTCTATGATGGTAGTTCAGTCTCATTTGGCCCATCTATCTTGAAAAACATTTGTATGTGTCAGTGGTTATTTGAACGTGAGAAATAAAAAAGAATTAAAATATAATTTTTGTGAAAAAAATAATAATAATACAATAAAAAATAAAATTGGGGTAGAACAGAGTCATACTGGAAACAAAAAATATATAATAAAGAAAGACCAAAGTTTTCTACTGTGATCGAACATTTGAACTTATCCGGATCCGTTAGTTGTATCCTAAACCAAAACAATGTGGACGCAACTTCATCTCCCAAACTTCTCATCACCAAAACCACAAACATGTACATGGCTCGAAAAGCTCAAAGGCCATTTCCTTCCATTAACATCTTCATCATCCTCTTCTTCTTCTTCTTCTCCTTCACCCTCAGTCCTTTTTCACCTCAAGTTGTCTCTGCTTCAGCTTTCAAGAGGCTTCAACTCTTCTCAACAGAAGAAGCTCAGCCTAGCTCAACCTCCTCCGTCTTGTCACTCTCCCTACATCCTCATTCCTCCATCATAAAGCTGCCATACGACAACTACTCTGACCTGGTACTCTCCCGACTCGCGAGTGACCGAGCCCGAGCCAAGCTCATCAACTCCAACATCGAACGGGCTGTCTCCACCTTCAACCGCCGTCATGCTGTTAAACCGGACGTACAAGTCCAGCCGGAGGACCTCAAAACTCCACTGACTCATTCTGAGGGAGGGTACTTAGCTCGGATCGGAGTGGGCCAACCCGTGAAAGAATTCCACCTGATAGCGGATACGGGTAGCCAAATCACCTGGCTCCAATGCCTGCCCTGCGATCCATGCTACGAACAATCCGACCCGATCTTTGACCCATCCGGGTCTTCATCTTTTAGTCCTTTATCCTGTGCATCGCAGGAGTGTACCTCCCTGGAAAAAAACCAAAATTGCAAAGCTGACCCGTGTACGTATAAAGCGTCGTACGGAGATAACTTCAGTAGCATGGGCGAATTCGCCACCGAAACGGTGTCGTTTGGAAGTTCGGGCTCTGTTGACAAAGTAGCCATCGGGTGCGGGCATACGAACCAGGGCGGGTTTGGCGGGGCAGCTGGGATACTTGGTCTTGGGGGCACTCCTGTAGGCTTCCCGTCTCAAATTAGAGCGACGTCGTTCTCCTACTGCCTTGTGGATATGGACTCGAACTCGTCCTCGAGTCTTGAATTTAACTCAGCTCCACCTGGTGACTCAGTCCTCGTTCCCTTGATAATTAACCCAAGAATTGAGGCTTATTATTACGTGGAACTCACGGGGGTCACTATTAATGGAGAAAAAGTATCCATCCCGGCATCAGATTACCAAATAGGCGAAGATGGACGCGGGGGAATCTTAGTTGACTCGGGCACCGCGATAACTGAGTTCCCAACTCAGGTCTATAACTCGGTCCGCGATACGTTTGTTAAGTACGCTCGAGCCTTGCCTCCCGCGAGCGGGTTCGACTATGGTCCAGTTAAACTTGACACTTGCTATGATCTATCATCTGAACCCACAGATGGCTATCCAACGATGTCGTTTGAATTCCATGGGGGCAAAACACTGTCGCTGAGGCCTGCAAATTATTTGATTCGTGTTGATACCAGTGGCAAGCACTGTTTGGCTTTCACCGGCAGTTCGGAACGGGTGTCTTCGGAACGGGTGTCAATAATTGGGAACAGACAGCAGCAAGGGATGCGGGTCACTTACGACCTTACCAATAAGTTGATTGGTTTTAGTCCGAATCAATGTTAAGACCATGAGCACCGTCTCTTATTGCTAGTACGAGAATATATTTGATTTGAACCAAAATACTGTCCCTTCCTTCGAGAGGACATCCGAAGAAATTGGAACCAAAATATTAGTAAATTCATACTAATACTGCTTGGTTTCAGATTTTACAAAATCAGATTAAGATTTAAAAAAAAATGACTATAGAGAATAATGAGAATATTAGTAAAATTTATTTTTTTGATTGATTATGAAATTTAGTTTTTTAATATTAAAAATAAAAAATTTGTATAATTAAAATAAACAAAAATATCAAAAAAATTGATTATCTAACGTCAGAATCCATAAATATATAGCTAAAGTAATCAATCAAGAATAAGTCTTTAGTAACCTAGGACAAGCGATTATGGGATAAATTTACACTAAATGTAATAAGAATCGTGTAAACTAATTTGTAACAGACAAAACTCAATTTTGAAATTGTTGGGGCGACAAGGACAATAGAGGTCCAATGCTTTTTGCCAGGTTTGGACATCGCATCAGTTTGTTATCCCCACCAAATTATTTGGCTGGACGTTCACATTATTTTCCATCTCCACTCGTCGGAATGTCAAGTAACACCGGTACAAAGTTAGTCTAATATAATTCGGTTTCTGATATGATCGATGAAGATTCCTCCATTTCAATGCTTTAATATCCATATCGTTGATTTCTGCCTTACATGTTCATAGTGCTTTTCTTATTAAAAGTTCCGTCAATTGAGTGCCTTTTTTCATCGGTTAACTTAGTCATGAAAACATGATAATGAACTTGAGAAATTTATAAAAATTTTGTTTTAATAAATATATTTTGTACACTGACAGCGTACGTATATATTAACGAATTTAAATACATGTTATAGATATAAAATTTAAAACGTACATGAGTCATGCATCTATACATGATCAGATATACATTAGATAAGAAAAATAATCGTTCTTTCGATTAGTAAACACGGTATATATGATGTACTTCGTTGATAGTCGACATCGTTTTGGGGGAACTATCAGGAAATCAATTACTTGGCAAGGAGGGAATTGTACAACCATTCCATTCCATTCGCTGTTTCATTTTCCACAAAAATGCTTGTGATGTGACTGCCAAAACCAGATCCGAGCTGGGCTGTAGCGAACCGAGCTGGTCAGGCGCAGCTAGCCTGAGAGAGGGAGCCGAGCTGATGTACCTGCGAGGAAAGGTCAGGGGCGGGACTGGCGTCCCTGGGATAACTCCGACGGTCAAGTTAGTCAGGCTTGTCCACAGAGTAATAGTAGAGAATACTTGTGTATGCGTACCTTGTATTGTCCCTAGGCATGGTTTATATAGGGTAGAGTGGGTTGTAGTTTCCTTGTGGAAGTCAGAATCCCCGTAGGGTTCGGAGTCTTCTTAGGGTTTCGTGCGGCGGGTCCTACAAGTTCGGAGGCGGCGGCCCATAGGCCCATCTCAGGGATCGACAGGTAAGGCCGAGCTGGCATCCACATGCCGAGCTAGCGCCTACGAGTCGTGAGGTCTCCACCGTCGACCTGACGCGCACAACCTGCCGAGCTGACACGTGTCACGTGCAGATTTGCCCCACCACACTAGCCCCCTTGAGTCTAGAGTCACTGATGAGTCACGTGGGTCTAGACCAAACTTCGAAGCATCACGTCGGCTTCGTGCGGGACCCACGATCCCACGATCACGTACCTCCTCCGAAAAACTGCCACGTCCGCCTTCGTAACTGTCACTTCAAGGGTCACGTCCTTTATGATGGAGGTTTGTCAGCTCAAGCGTCTTCCAAGGTAACCGCCCCCTTGCAATAAGTTTGAATTTCTTCCTCAGGACTCTTCGGCTTCCCGCCCAGGGAGCCTATAAATAGGCCCCACCAAACGTCACTTTCAAGCCTCCCCTCTCATTTTCTCTTCTCCTCCAGTCTTCTCCAGCTCGCTCCGCATTCCGTGAGGTCGTCCGCGTTCAGATTTCTTGAACTCCTGGACGCCCTGCTGACGCCCCTCTTCCCTTGCCGCCTCCACCAGCTCGGCAGATTTTTTCTGCTCTGCCTCCAAAGTCGCAGCCAGTTCGGCCGCTTTCTTCTTTTCCAGTTCGCAGGAGGAGTTGGCATCTGCAAGTTGCTTCTTCAGGGTCTCCAGCTCGGTCTCTGCAGCCTCGAGCTGGCTGGACAGCTTCTCTTTGGCAGCGTCAACCTGGGACAGGTTGACCCCCATGTTCTCATATCGCTGAGCCAGCTCGGCCCCCGTAACATTGAGCTGCATATTAGTTACAGGATAAGTAGGCAGCAAAACTCGAAAGGGTGCCAAAGAAAGTGCTAGTTAAGAAGCTACCTGGGTGGTGCTGAGGTAGAAGTGCTCTAGCAGCTCAGCATTGGTGGCAAGTTGGATGAAGTGGTGATCGCGGGGGA